CAAACAGGAGAAAGCGAAATGATCTTTTACTTCTACACAACTCATGCGCGGCGAAACTGTCAAGTTGGAAAGCCTCGTTCCGCTGAGACCTCTATTACCCGAGGTAGTGCTAATAAATATCATCTGGGTAAAGCAAAACTAAACTGTAGGCGCAAATTTTTCACCTTCAGAGCGATTCCTCTTTTTGAAAAGCTAAGTAAGAAGGGGCCAATACCACTGAACCGCAAAATGTTCAAGAGACTGTTAGACAAATTTTTGAGTCCATGAGGCCACATATAGCTTCATATGCCCGCAAAGTTCGAGTCCATAGGGCCTTGTAATGTTTTCCCATGTTGCTCCTTGCTCGTCGTAACGCGTATACTATGTTCCTATGTCATTCATTTATTTTTTTGATCACTACTAATTGTGTTGAATTAGTTGAGTTTTGACGTTTTATTTTGTTTCTGCTGTTTTCGATGCCTACACACAAATATTTGTGTAATAAAGTAAGTAAAGTAAGTAAGGTCGGGTCATGGCGAGGATGGATAGAGCATGGGCAAAACCTAAATAGCACCCATGACCCATGGTAAGCCCCGCCCACAGTGGGCGGGGCGTGCGTCGAAAGTTAGCGATGTCACTGAAAAAGTCATAACTCGGTTCCAGAGCAGTCCCGAGATGAAACAGTGCAGTAAAGTTAACAAAGGGCTGACCGACCAAACAGAGGAGACACACCCGAAATGGGCGGGGCGTACTTGAGATGGGCGGCGCTTCCCACAAAGGTCGGTAACTCGGTTCCCGAAAATGTTTAGAGATCGCAGAAAAGTCCATGACGAAGATGAACATCTGGCAAGAGTCCACCATGTTTGCGGCGTGCTGAGGCCCGCCCACAGTGGGCGGGGCGTGCATTTGAGCACGAGGTACCAGTATAAAAAGTCGTAGTTTGGTCCTAAAGCACTGCAGATGGTGCCAAAAAGTGGATTATGGTCCCCAAGTGATCAAATGTAAGGAATGTGCGAGGCACTCCCGTTGTGGGCGGAGCCTGCCCGAGGTGGGCGGAGCCAAATTAAAAAAATTCGCAAAACGCTTCCAGAGCACTCTAGACACCGGGAAAAAGTAGTTAAGACCAGCGAGATGTTACATATCTGAGAAAGGGAAGGCACAAGTGTGGCCTGGAGCGTGCGTCTAGTTGCGTGTCGTCCTAAAAATCCTTCACATGTGTTCCAAAGCACTGCCTGCACTGGCGAGCCTCGCGCCTGACCAGGCCGTGCAGGCGTGCTCCATCGCGCACCTGCATCGCGATGATCGAATCTCCACTATCACCCCTGCTTCTCGTGCAACTCGCTCCATTCCATACAGCACGTAACAATGTTAAAAAAGACAATCACGAACATGCTACTGTAAAAAAAAATGTGACCCATCTTCAAACTAAAAAAAGCCCCGAACGCACGGCTATAAATGTGATAAGCGCGATCTCAGGAGAGACGCGCTGGCGTCAGCCGCGAAGCGACGAATTGAACGCGGCTTATAGCTCATCTGAATGAGTCAACAAGATATCATTCTCGCCTCACATGGTTTCAAAGGGCGTCATGCTTGAGACTGGCCTCTAACTCCCCTCAAACTGGACAAGCTCCTTTAGACCAAAAACCTAGTCAATGAGTTTAACTTGACGTTGCTAAGGTTGTGACCGTTTCCTATCACTCTTATAATAATGCCGGACTTGCCCTGGCACAGCCAGAAGCTACAAATTAGGAATAAGTGCTTTTGCAAAACCGTACGTACCAATCCGCCTTGCGGATGCTATCCAATATTTTCGCTAGCAGCTGGATCCGCAAGGTGTCCTTATCAGCCACTCGTTGTTTTCTATATTTACTGTGTGACTACCTAGTTTAGTTCTGACACGGTGGCACTTGCTTGATCGACTGGCCGATGATCAAGATATACACAGGTAATTGAGAGCTCAGAGGATAGTGATGCTCTCCAAGCTGCTATCAACTGTGTGAACTCTTGGTCCATTAGGTGGGGTCTGCCCCTATCCCACGATAAAACCAAAGTCTTCTGCGTTGGAAAAAGCAGTGATGTAGATATAAATATGACTAAGCTCATTAAGAACAACCAGAACCACCATCAATGCGCGACCTGGGCTTCAATCGATAACAAGCTTTCCTTTGAATACATTATTCGCACATGTGCTAGACAAAGCACACAGGGGATCTTTAATTTGTGGCAGCAGGTAGGCGTATCAAAGATCAAAGAACTTATCAAGGGCTTATTACAAAACATAATTTATAGATGCCGCTACTGAGTCGGCACAACTGTCTCTCACCATTTCAAGAAAAAGATATATGCTGTTCTCGAGGTCCAAAATTGTTTTACACCGAAAAGCGTGCATGGGCGCTGCTCGCTCACTACCGAATTACCCAAAGGCAAGAACGCCCCCGTCGTTATACTCGTTACGCCAGTCTGCATGCCCGTAGAAAGATAAACGATCTCGTATGGCTTTAAAATTGCCTGACTGTAGGTGGCCGTCAGCGGTTCTGGAATCTTCTTTACGCCACCCTTCGAAGAGTAGGCAGCGACGGGGCTAAATCAAGGTCCGCTGGTGAAAACCGCAAATCGCTCCAAATCTTTTCTGTAAGGGTAATAGCCTCGGTAGCGAACATTCTTACTCGTGGGGGGACATCATCATTCTCTCTGAGCGCCGCATATTGTGGCCAAAAGTTGTGAAAACCTTGAGGATCGCTGCTCTCTCATAGATTCTCCGTGCAGTTCACATATCCCTCGGCCTCATATTATTATTTATTATTCTCTCAATTTAGCTTGCTCTGCTATGGCACTATTTTTTCTCTGTTGATTTCACTGGTATAGCTGCTCAATTGTGTGGGGTTTTGTTTTCTCACATGGCTGCATGCCTGCGTCAATAAAAATATAGATAGAATAGAAGCCGGTGGCGTCGATCGAAAAACTGTATTGCTCCTTCCGTAATCGACGATTGCCGCCCTTTTATTTAATACAGTTACACTCCGAAAAGATTGAAAGGATTGGAGGTTAGACAAGAGCGTGAAGTGATGAGCTGGTAACATCAAGAATCTGCTCCACTGAACCGCTGAACTCCTATCGAATTTCCGAATCCGCGCGCCCTGTACGATTATATCTGATGCCCTTGACAAGCAGGCAAGAACTCAGAACGATCGATACCTGTGACTGCTGTCTATCAATCTTGGCGTAGCGAGAACGAAAAGAGCCGTAGGACAAGTGTGGGCAAACGAGCAACAAAAGTATCAACACCGAAATCTGGACTACTTATACCTTTGTACTCTCCATATTTCGGAGATGGGGGAACATGATTGCATACATGCTTCGCTTCCGCTTTTAGTGCCAATTTCACACAGTTGCAGTCATAGCTTTGTCCAGCACAGGACAGAATAACACTTGTCTCAAATAGAAATATCCCACGAGAAATGCATCCTACGCCAAGTTCCAAGAAAGCACGTGCAACGCTCTTCCCCTCTGCAGGATATGGAGTGCATACTAGTAAAAATATGGGGTTGAATACGTAGAGAAACACCACTACACCACAATTTATGACGTGGTTCTGTTGCAGACTTCTAACGTTTAGAGTAATAATAATTCTTATCAAGGAATGCTCACCGGTGACATGAGATCGACATCAATTTCTGTCTCTACACTCATCATCACTCGAGAGCTATCTTCCTCTGTCTGAAAAAGAAGTCTGATCAGCCCGATTAAGGTAAGTTCCAAAGCATGCTGAACAGGTCAAGATAGCTGAAAAGTTTTAGAAGCCTTGAAGGTCAGGCAATTTTCGTAGATTCTGATGTGAATAAGGTACACTCGAAATCACTGAGATGTGGTGGGCGTGGCCGCGCACCTCAACCAAATGTGGCGGTGGGTGTGCTTCAGAGATACTTTATTTTGACACAATCGTGGTCATGTCTCTGTCCAACAATGAACAAGATGACAGTTGTCTCAAACTGAAATATCCACGAGTAACCATTCTGTGCCATGTTTGAATGCCACGCCTACTCCGTCTCATGGATAAGGGGTGTAAAATGAGAACATCACGATTAAAACAATCCTCGTGAGAGTTCACCTGCACTTCATCACTGCGCGTCGGCTGCTCGTCGGTTTGTGAAGAACTGTTCTGAAAGTAAAGTTTTCGACTCTGAAAAAAGATTCTCGAATGGAATTGCCGACGGTGTTCATACGGCTTTGCGGCCGAAAACACACTAGGAAGTTTACCGAAAAAGTTTTTCTACGACTGATGAGTGTTTTCTTGTCGCCACTCCTGTGAATCGAGTGTTTATATTCAACAATGAATCACTCACCGTAGACGGCAAGTGGTCGTCTGTTTTGTGTATTAGCGCTGCTAATGATCTTGGGAGGTTGGTCGATAGTCTGAATATGATGGATTCTCGGGACAACTGCAGTACTTCATATGCAATGGCAGGTTGTACAGTAGAAACAACAGACTGAAGATCGTACACTTCGTTTCAAAATTAGGCTGAGCCGCTTGCACACAAGTGCGCTCATCTTTTACGTGATAACAGTCTTGTTCGCTGGGACGCTGGAGCCTTGGGTGGCTCAAAAGGCTGGGTTTAGCGGCCAGTTTCAAAGCCCGCTCGGAAGGCCGAGCATCCACAGCAACAAGACTCTACAGAAGCTTTGCGCGGAGCCCTGCTACGATAATAATGCGCAGACAAAACACCGTGGCTGTCCGGGCATCTGTAGGTGTGAATGACGATCCGGAGATGAGGTTTTTATGGGAAGGGGTTCCGTGGTGGGTAAACCACCTATTATACGTTAATGGTTAGAGTGGGTGAGGCCACAGTGTTCGGAATGTGTTAGGCCATACCAGAGAGGCAGATGAGAGCAGAAAATTGTCGAGATGAAAAGAATCAAGTTCGAGTGGTCCGTAAACGGCGGTCATCTGCCCTTCCGAGCTGGCAAATAGGTGCACTCCAATAAAGGAAGCACTATGGTTCAAGTGACTCAGCATGATTCAAAATAGGCCTTTGATCAGGGATCTAACGATAAAGGAAGTTTGTGGAAGTGCATGTTCCAAAAAGTGAATTGAAAACCAGGAAGTTTTATGTTTTTGTACATCGTACCTGAGCCTCAACATCATGTATCGACTGCTTGCTAGTCTGCGTAGAGTGGTCCTGAAAGAGAATAAAAAAGAAGGTTTGCAATGCGTTGCTTAAGGACATTTTGCGACTACTTGAAGGAATCAAAGCATTGTACGAGGAAGGGTAGTCTGGGCAGCGATTGATTACCGTGCAGCAGTTTTCAGAAAAAAACTTAGAAAGGGATGTCAAGACGCAAGGTTGCTTTTGTAGCACCCTCCCCCCCCTCCCCAGAGCGTAAGTAACTGCGCCTCACGTGCGTGCCTGTCGTCTTGCACGTCAGTGAGTTTTCTCTCTGCTTTTATCGGGTCTCTTCCACTGAGTCCTATAAGAGACTACAAAAAGGGAGGCTTTTCTAAGGCGTCTTAGTCGGTTTCCCCCGCTTCATTCTCCAGGGCTAAGTCAAATAGCAGGTACTCTGTTCTTCAACAGTTCACTCGAACTTGTAAACTGTACCTTCAAGAGCTCGTCAATGAAACATAGACCGTTATTCATTCGAGAAACTCTATGAGACTTTTCGATAAACTCACTAAGCAAGGTTGGCTCCTGTCAGTCTGGGTTTCAGCGCTTTCCTTGATAGTCAGGATAACGTCGACGGTCTGGCATGATATAATTTAAACTGCCTACTGCCCGTAAATTTGGGCTGTGTCTTTACAACAAATAGCTTCACAACAAATAGCTTGAAAAATTTAGATTAACAAAACATTTGTAAGAAAAAAAGCCTTCCGAAGTTCTCATATTGAAAAGATTAGCCGTTGCCTAAAGCTCTCGGAACTAGGGAATGAAATGAAAACGATTAACGTTTGAAGACTTTTCCAAGACCAAATTCACCTGGACTTCATTGCTACGTGTTAGCAATTCATTGGTTTGAGCAGAACTGTCCTGAAAAATACTGAACTTTTCTCAAGTTTCTTAGATTTCATCAAATTAGTCACTAAATGCATAATTCACTGAACCGTGGACGGCTGGTTGTAGGTCTGTGTGGCAACGTTTTCAGTGATATCAGGACCTCCTTTGATGGTCTACAAAACAATAGTTGAGTAAATTAGTCACAGGAACCAATATATGAAAACAGAGATCTGTGAGAAAGCCAAGAGAGCTGATTGGAGAGATGCAAAAGTTGGAAAGCATTGTTAGTGAATCCGGAAAAAATAAGTCAAGACGAGGTAAGGTCTTCCAGAATGATCGATTAGGAATCTACCTGAACTTCGTGAATGCTTATCTGAGCGTCGCTGGTTTGTGCGGAGCCATCCTGAAAGTGGATAATGAAGACATCAGATTCCTATTTACAATTCGTTTGGTAAAGGCTGCTGTTTTAATTGTGCCACGGAATTACCACTGTAAGTCATGACTGCATTTATCTGTACATCAACGATGTTTTCGCTTTCAGCACCTTCAACAACAGAACCACAGTTTCGGAGAATACGAATGCATTAGGGGCACAGTCCACGGTGGTCGTGTGGGTGGGGTCAGTCAACTGTCTTCTTCATTGGCGCGCCTACTATGTACCATCTTGGGATAAAAAAGAAAAAATGAAAATGACACAATGAATGACTGACAATTTCTGATCACACGACTGATGTAATTTATGCCTGCATTGTTCACTAGTCACCCAAATTTTTTTTTGCAAGCAGAAAAAATGCACAAACCCTCCGATCAAACCAGGGAGCTGACGGGTGATCCCGAAAGACGGTTACTCAGGGTAAAGTAAGTGAATATGAAAAAACCGCACAATAAAAATTCAGATGCGTGACTGCCTCTGGAAGTGAAATGCGCCAGGACTTTGCTCTCAACGCCCCTCCCCCCATTTCCCGAAAATGAGTTTTCCATTTGAAAGCGCTTTTCGCGGGATATTTTCATTCAGGGCAACTATCGTCTTGCTTTTGCAGGACAAAGACATGACTCTAAGTATCCCAAGATGGCAAGACCCAGCAAAAGTGTAGTGCAGCAGGTTCGAATGAAGCGCGCAACCGCGCCGCCCCAATCTCGGCAACATCAGCGTATCCAAGGGACTCCAATAAGAAGAGAGGACAAATTCACCTTACCAGTAAGGGTATCGGCTTATCGTGTAATGTGTCCTCAAGCTAGTATGTATATTCATAACTCTCGTAGGAAGGGTACACTCCCACATCTATATTTCTTGAGATTCAAGCACTGTTTGGTAGTTTGGGATCACCACAGTCTTCTTTCTAAACTACGGGATACGTCCCAGGTTTCATTCGTGGGTGACAAGTATGAAGAAGCCAGAATGTAGGAAGCGCAGAGCGCAAATGAACAACATTTGGTCAGCGGTTTTTTTTGATCGTCCTGGAGTCTTGCCAAAAATTCTCCTAATTAACTCTTCATTAATTTGAATACCATTGCAAATGGTGCAAGAAAACAGCAATCATAGTCGTTTCTTTACTGTGGAACAATGAATCTTTCGGAGTCTGGGTAATAGTTGTCGTGATTCCTGCAAGAGGTAGGGCCTGTGACGCGGCGCAGTCGCAGTTGAAACGCAGGGTAATGCCGTTTGGACGCAAACAATGGCACTTATAAAGTGCACCAAATCCGCTGCAAACTCGTAGGACATGGGCCCAATTTTGACATACCTGTATAATATGACCACTGATTCTTGGCCTGGCGCGCAAGATGAGACCACTACGGATTACCTACTGGCTCAAGCGATAGCATCGCGTAGATACTCGTAGTGTCATTCATTAGCGCCAGCGCCAAGAATGAATGTCATGTTCGTAATCAGGATGTTAAATTACCTCCATATACAAGTTTTAGCAGATTTTGGTCGATTGTATCACATTAAAAATGGGCTCGGTGCCAAAAAATGTCGTCGCCGGTCCAAACGGCATTAGCCGGAACAGCCAGAACAGCCTTCCCCCAATTTTTGCGGACTTAAAGACAGCTCCCGCGATAAAAGTCTCATGGATAGCTGCTTTCCAATTTGTGAAACGGTAGCTGAAAGTAAATCTCCCAAAAAGAAAAACACCCAAGGAAACCTCCAGAACAACATAAACAAAATCGCTCCCTCACAGTCACACCTCCCTGCGGTCTCTGTGCAACCCCTAGCTCACAAATCTCTCTATCACATCTCGCAGTAGTTGATATCATCCAGTGCAAAAAAAAGAATACAAAAAGAAAACAACAAAAACGCAGAGGAAAAACTCTTTGAAGGGAAAAGGAATTTTATCAACGCGGCTTCCTCTTATAATTTGGGATTACGGTAGCGCACGTTTTGTGCGTCGAGGTTTTGCATCACGAAAATTGCGTCGTGCTTTTTACGCGTTTCACCTCGCGAAATGAGTTGAATTGAATGTATATACCTCCAATGAGTAAACTGTAATAAAGGGGAGCAGAATTATCCATGGGCATTAGCAATGCCCGCCGCCCCAACTAAGAACAACTGAGTGGCCTCCGTCGGAGGACATCTAGCAAGTAAGGCGGTCCAACTGAGCAGGCGTTAGAACTAGAACTTACAGCGGCTGTAGCTCGCTTCTCGCTCGCTGTGCAGACGAATAGAGTGGGACAGTCTCTAGCTTGGGGCTGTACTACTTGCACACAAGGAAAGGCGACCATGTACTACTCGAGCACGGGGGCTGTCTTTAAGTGGCTTCAGTGGGGAAAAGACACCCTGCCAGTGCTCCGTCACTCGGCCAGTCGTTAGTAGGAGTCACGACTGAATGAGAATGGACTCTGCGATATCGGCTCTCCTTTTTTATTGACTGTCACATTTCTTCTGTGGGAATTGTCATGTTTCTTAATAGGTTATTAACAATTCTATACAAAACGACGTACTTCAGTGTCCTTGTTATGCGTCATCGGGTCAGTTTGAGAGCTCTCTTCGACTAGGAAGCTTTCAAGGTTATTGTCGTCATTGTCCGACAAAAACACGTCGTCCTCTTCCTTTTCCTTGTCGTTAAGCTCGGCGATATCCACCACTTCGATGCCGTGTTCATCTACCGGTTTTTTCACGAACGATACATTGATACTCACCTGAAACAGATCACAATCTCCTTCTCAAAATTTCCAGAACACTTCACGGTAATACCCAGTCAAGGAACGATCCTTTCTTGGATCCTGCCACAGGATCTAATATAAGGGAAAAAATCGAAATCCAGTATCCAAACTGAGGCATTATGAAAACGCTACGGGGAACTGACCTCTTGCGTAACACCAGGTGAATCCGCTTCACTGATACGTGGCGTTGGTACACCAGGTGAATCCGCTTCACTGATACGTTCTGGTGATGCCCGCTGTTTAATGGAACGTTGCTTATCTGAAAGTGTTGAAAAAGATGTTTGAATTCATTTCACATTGAGGAATCGTGGTTGGATCTTTTCTGTACATTTTTTTGGTATCCGAGGGGCATAGAGAACGTACCCGAAAATTATTGGGTTAGCACATAAGTAATGGCGTTTTTTTCAATTGAAAATTTTGTTCCAAAAGTGAAATGTTTTGCAAGCAAGCTTGATATCATCTGATAGGAAACTTCTCGTAGTATAAGAATATCAAAAAGCTTCGGTTGAGGGAATAATTTTTGTGAATTTTTTAGTCGTTGAAGTTGAAAGTGAAGTCGGCGAAAATTAGCACCTTCGACAACTGCCTCTATTTACGTCTACTCGAAGTGCTAAAATCGCTTAAGCTGCTCCATACATTTGGAAAAGGTTGAGCTAGAAGTCTCAGCAAGGGAATCTCAATAGGACGCTTTGGAACTAATTTCAAGAATTTCAAAGTTGGCAACCTTCACCTCGCCGATATTGCAGGCTCACGTCTGTTCCACCTGAAATTTTATGCTAATAGTTGAATGTTTCGCTGATATGTTTTGCATGTTCTGATAGCAAATTTCGTGCTCTATAACACTGCAATGGAAATCTGTTCTCCAGAGCTGTTTACTTTCTGTTAATTTCAGGTTATCATTACGGAACGTGAGGTCGATGAGAATTAGCGTTCCCGACTTCCTCTCCCTACCGCTGTCCACGGAAGCTTCAAAGCTCCTAGAGCAGCTCAATAGAATCGCCATGGTTTGAGTAAAGCATTGAGTAACAGATTAATATTAGGACGGCTCACAATTGATTTTGAGAAAAGCAAAACCGACAACGCTGACCTTGCAGACATCCGGTCGACCCATACCTCACGATTTTTTTTTGTTTTCCTGATTAAATTTCAAACACAGTATTTACAACACTATAAAAAATATAGATATTTACAATAAACTAGTCAATGATATATTCCCCATTGTTTCTTACAACCTCCTCCCACCGATCAGCCAGCTGTTCAATGCCTTCTCGGTAAAAATCCATACACCAACCTGAAAAACAAGGAAATCAAACGGATTTTCAAAATAACTGCACCGCAGTGTTATAGAGCACGAATTTGCTATCAGAGCATACAAAACACATTAGCGAAACATTCAACTATTAGCATAAAATTCGTGGAAATCGGGAACGCTAATTCTCATCGACCTCACGTTCCGTAATGATAACCTGAAATTAACAGAAAGTAAACAGCTCTGGAGAATAAATTTCATCGCAGTGTTACAGATGGAGCAGCTTAAGCGATTTTAGCACTTCGAGTAGACGTAAATAGAGGCAGTTGTCGAAGGTGCTAATTTTCGCCGACTTCACTTTCAACTTCAACGACTAAAAAATTCACAAAAATTATTCCCTCAACCGAAGCTGTTTTGATATTCTTATACTACGAGAAGTTTCCTATCAGATGATATCAAGCTTGCTTGCAAAACATTTCACTTTTGGAACAAAATTTTCAATTGAAAAAAACGCCATTACTTATGTGCCAACCCAATACATATGTACAGTTTATGTCACCGCGACCTGTCGGGTAGCAATCAGCGGTTCCCACCTGCGGCCTTCCCACCAGTGGCTGATTCCTTCCTACATCGATCATTGCTCGATCACCATTGGTAGAGCAAGGCAGCCGGACGCGAGCTCGTGCCGCGCTGCGCTCGCCGCCCCCGACAAATTGCAATGTTACAAACTATAAGACCCTTTCTTTATTGGTACTTTGGACTGTCCCAAAAGTTTGTCTAAAATGTGTCAAAATTCGACTTTTTGTTTTAATGAAAATTTATTCCTAATTAACTATCATCAGTGAACAAGAAATCCACCATCAGTATCTATCACCTTCCAAAAGTGCCTAGGCAAGCACTCAATCTCATGTGCAAATAAAGAGCGAGGCTGTGAGTCAAAATCTCATTTAAGGTCGCTACTCAGATCATCGCGGTTGCTGGGGCGACGTCCTTATGAATGATTCGCTCAGGCGCATAAAAGGTGATAGGGGAAGAAGCCTGAATCACAACGACTGGATATGAAGGCGCGTTGATTTTGCCTTTCGCGTTGTCGTGCAACAGTAAAAGTCGCAAACCTCCTACCGTTGAAGTGCATGCTTTCGCACCACCTCTCCATCTGATGGCGCTACTCCTCTGCGGGGATGGTGACATTTTTCTGGAGAAGTTCCCCATGAATGACGCCTAGTCGATCCCACCAAATTAGCAGCAACACCTTCAGCGTGTGGATTTTCTGTTTCACGGCATGGTTCCCATTATAGAGAAAGATCTCTATTCCATTAGTAATAGTTTGTATTATTGTATTGTACTAATAGTTCGATATTCCGCTGTAGATACCCATGGGTGAGCCTTGACCACCTATTGCGCGGGCCGCCCTAGGTGATCTGGCGCGCTGGGGCGGGAAAATTACCGTATAAAAGGGCCCCCCAAAGGGCCCCCTTATGTCTTCTTATTCTCGTATTCCAGCTGTATTCTACTGCTTCCTACCAATAAATATTCTACTTATCGACCGTCTCCAACAACTACACTCATCTCACATGACCACGTTGCCCAGTCAATCGAAACGACGACTCCGACAAAGTGGACTCAGTGCAACGTCACCTCTGATCTGCGCGTCGAGGTCGGACGGTATGAATTGCCCAAATCTGGGAGCTTTTACCATGTAGATAACGATGCGCACTGGTTCTGGGAGAGCTAACATCTGCTGCATCTAGAAAGTCTAGCGGCGATACGCTCCATATAGCCCTGTATGGTAGCAGTATTGGTTGAACCCGGTCGATCACAACGATCAGAATCCTCAAGGCTGCTTCAACATCGTACTACGTGCAGGAATGTCTGGCTCTACCAGTGAGCATAAGTTTCGGTGGGGCTTCGACAAATTTCTTTCCTTGGATGTACTTGTGAAGTACTAGTAAAGAAGACAGACACGAAGAGCATCTTCTGATCTTTGGTTAGGTACTCGGCGAACGTCGACGATAGAAAGAAATGAATGCCACGCAGTAAAAGCTTATAACGTGTTTTACTTGTATACATTTCATGAAAGTTTTCGGAAGCAGTCAAGTGAAGTTATATAATTCTTGAAAAATGACAAATGTAAAGTCGTCCGTAATATCCGCAAGTGAAGTATATAGGAGTTTCCATGTCCGAGAATTTGAAGAATAAAGTCTCATTTCGCGAAAATCGAGTATCCTTGTAATGTCAAATTTTGGTGTGTCCGTCCATAGACTTTTGTTATGCACTGTAGGTGTCACAGAAGTGACACCGTCTGATGCCGTATGTTTGTTATAGTATAATACATCTGGATAGATTACCAATATATAGCCAAATTACCCATGACTTCGTGATGTTTTGTAACATTCATAATTTTTTTAACTGTACGCTAGTATTACACCACTACAGTTGGCATCGTACCCTAGTGGTGCACGGAAACTTGGGCTGTTATTTAGTGGAGATGGATTCCGCAACTCTATCAAACGAGGAGCCCGAACAAACTTTGCACGATGCTTTACTTCAGCTCCACTTGAGGTTGTTAATTCAATTTTATCGGCGTACTTTTCGGCGGAATCACCTTCTTCAGGGCTTTGAAGGAACGAAGTAGTTCATGATTACCCGATCAAACGCCCACTCTACCCTACTGAAATCCGAAATCAATGCAGATCCTCGCCAATTAATGTGTGGAATATACGCGAACTGTAAGTCCCTTAGATATATTTTACCTCCAGTTGCGGCGATTTCTGCATTCGAAGAAGATGAATGTGGTGAGGATCGAATCGAATGCCCTGAAGAAGAGAATGCTAGATGTCGTGCCCGACGCTTCTTCAGCTCATTGATCGCTACGATTTCTCGGGAGGCAATGCTGAACAATATTGTTAGAGTAGCGATCAAACTTTCGAACAAAAGACAGCACCAAGCTTTTACCTCGAAAGTTTTGTCTGGCAATGCTGAGCACGCCTTTCCACTTCGTCTGATTGAACCATCACCTGCAATCATATTTTTTGTTCTACATAACTCGGCTCATGCTTCTTAACGGGCATGTCAGGTAGGGCAAGCTCAATAGGGATAAGCAGCACCTGAACGGATGGAGGGAGATTTAGCCTGAAAGGGGAGCAATTCGTGACGCGACAGTATGTGACGGCGGGATCAGGCGCTGCGCGGAATACTGCAAACACTTGTCTCTACTAGGCTGAATTAGGTATCATATAGAGAGATTCTGATAACTTCAATCTATTTTTTCAGTCTTCAGGGCTACAGCGTCAGATAAGACCAAAATAACAACCATGCCTTGCGCTGCCGTCCACGCTCATCTTTTATAACTCATCTGCCGAAAGTTGCCCCACAACTAGATAAGTTCTCCAGTGAGGCAGGTGCCATGTAGTCTACGGTTCATTAACAGCTCAAATCCTGCAACAGTGAAACCATAAAGATAGAGCCAATGAGAGCAAAGAAGTGGAATGGAGAGTGTACCACTGCGAGCGCTCGACTGCAAGGTTAGGGTGCAGTTTTGACAATCACGACCTATTTCCCCCTCGGACAAGGTTGCCATGGTCTGAAATATATAGCAAGCTTGCCAGTTTCACGTGTGCGCCTAGTATATCCGTGTTTCGGACTACCAGCAAATATTAGTTCACCTAGTGGCTAGGGGATCATCATCTGATTCTGTTGAGAGGGGGGGGATGTGAAGCTGCTTACATGACACCATGACACATGTAAGCAGCGTACATGATTCCAGGTCATTAGTTGTTACAGAACATTTTCTGAGCGATATGAGGCGGTATGAGGTAGTGTAGAGGCAAGTGGCACGCTTACCATGTGCATGGTCCGGGGATAAAGTCCTGGATTGGCTTTCGCCCAGGTCAACCAAGCTTCGTACCCCCCAGGGAACGGTAAATTGGTATGAGACACTTCTGGGAGGATTGAAACATTGACTTGTACATCGGCTGGCCCTCGCAATAAATGCGAGGGGCCATTGTATAGGCCCCTCGCATTTATAAGCCATCACGATTCTGAATGGAAGTAAAGTGCGGGCCGCGTCCAGAAAAGGGAT